TTTTTTTTATTAATATATTTACTTTTTTTAATTTTCGAAAACGATTAATAAATTTATTAAATTTAATAATGTTACCGTAAAGTAAATATAATTATAAACTTAATAATATAAAAGGAAAAAATATATTAAAGAAGAAAAAATAAATAATAAAAAATTTTAATATATTTACTTATTTATATATATTATAATAAGTTAGATTTTTTTTTTAATTATACGTTATTATTTTAAATAATTACGTTTTAATATAAAATTTAAAAAACCTTATACGCGTTTTTTTTTTTATAAAATAAAAGATAAAATAAAAGGTAAAATAAAAGGTAAAATAAGAGGTAAGATAAAAAGTAAGATAAAAAGTAAGATAAAAAGTAAGATAAAAGGTACGTATTTCGAAAAAAGATAAGATTAAAGATACGAAAGAATACGTGTAATATTTATTTATTTTAAAGATACACTTAATAAAAAAGACTTATAAGTTACGTACGGACGAATTTCCTTCTTAAAGAATTCTTCCATTTTAAGAAAATAAGATTAACTAGATAATATCCCTTGTAAACTTAGGCAAATAGAAAGGTGATCCCCGTGAGAACAAGAAAGCCTAATAAAGCTATGTAAACCCTAGACGTACATATCATGTGACGACCATCTTTTTGCCAAGGTAGGTATGTACGAATTGAGTTGTGGAATAGCTTGGACGAAGACGTAGCCGTTTATTTTGAGCTGCACGTGGTATTCGACAATAGGCAGCTTACCTAGATTTTATATCATCTAAAAGCCAAGCCATGTTAAAGGTGATTCTAGGCTATCCGGCACCTCAAAATACGAATTGTCACAGCGTACAAAGCACAGTTGTTTTGTGTAAAGAATACGGTATAGTACAAGTGGCCGAATAAGTCCTTACCCTCTAATCAAATACGGTGCGGTACAGGTTAGTACAGGTTTACAGCGTCTGTTGTAAGACGCTGTGGGGGTTTCTTACCCCACACCAAGAACTGCAGCTACCCTGAAACCTCCAAGGCTACCATCGCAATTACCGCAGAAAAGAAAAGGCTGCTGTACAGTGTGTAGATAGACGGAGTACATCTTTGTAAAGGCTAAGACGCCCAAGACGCCTAAGATCAGTAAGATCAGCGGTTTGTCTTCTTGCTCCCTGAACTTTTTGGAAATAGGGGATTGCAGGTAGGATTTCCCTCTGTTCCGAAGAGCCAGATTTTTCTGACTTTTTCTTTTTTTTCGAAACTTGCCTCACTCACTTACGGTTCATTATTTTTTTTTCTTTTCAATCACTTGTCTCAATAATTATAAGCTGAATTATTGATTTCTACATTCTAAGTACAATACTTGGCTCTCCCACCCCCTTAGGTATTGTATTATTCGACTAAATCACCAATTCCTACTCCGTTCTCGGGTTACTTATTGTTGGCCGCAACTTGTCTTTGTACCTACAGTGCGTGGTACCTTGTTTGGACCAGATTCAGCGTTGCATGTGTCTTGTGCTTGTTGATCCACCTTACCTGCGTTGCTGGTCGAAAACTTGTCGACGCCTTTCGTCACTCGTCAGGCCCGGATGACACTGAATCTTGGGGGCCCTGTCTTATATACTCACTCCACCCTTTCCGTATTCCCCAACTCAATTCCAATCGATATCATCACCGCAGGAGGGCGCTGCTGCTTGACAGCCCCAACAACTCCAAAATTCCTTCGCCAAAATCAAACCGTCTTCCCTCAAACATTCCTCTGAGGACATTAACCAATCGATCTGAACACGGTGCCCAATCGACGTCATTGCTGGCCGGCCACCGGGATCAGCACTCTCACGAGAGACGCTCCTCCGACTCTGTCGACTCCGACTCCTGGACTGATACCGGTGATATCGCAGAGCAGTTGGCAGATGAGGAGGATCCTTTGCGGAAGACCCTCGCCGATACCTCCGTAAACGAGGACCTATTCTCGGGGGTCCTGAAACGTCATCCCAAGCATAAACGCGTCCAGTTTAGACGCTCCGTCTCCGAGCATAGTAATTATCGCTCTTCTAGATCCTTCTCCAGGACTATCGATAAAGAAGCAATCGAGGTTCCCGACGTCCCTCCACGCCGTCTCTCAAGAGGAGAGCGTTTCATAGCCGCCATCATGCCGGGTGCCGGGATACACGGCCTTACGGGCAAGCCCCTCATGTTCGCATTACGCGTTCCCAGGCGTCCGAAGCAAGACGTGCTGACCATGTTCACAGCTATTTTACGAGTATATTCGTCTCGTTAGGTGTTTTCCTATTTGGATATGACCAAGGAGTTATGTCGGGTATCATCACGTAAGAGCTTGGCAATTATTATAGTTCAGCTAACATCGTCGTCTCATCTTCTAACAACGCTATTGCAGGGGCCCATTCTTTAGGGATTACTTTAAGAATCCTTCGAAAGCCGAGATCGGTACGATGGTTGCTATCCTCGAGATTGGTGCCCTAGTATCATCGTTAATAGTAGGAAGAGTCGGCGATATCATCGGTCGACGAAGAACAATTCTATATGGCTCTATGATCTTCTTCGTCGGCGGCGCTTTACAGACTTTCGCTGCCAACATGCCCATGATGATGCTGGGCAGAATTATTGCAGGTCTGGGCGTTGGTTCCTTATCAACTATTGTGCCTGTCTACCAGTCCGAAATCTCTCCCCCTCACAACAGGGGTAAACTGGCCTGTATCGAGTTTTCGGGTAACATTATTGGTTACACGACATCCGTTTGGGTTGATTACTTCTGCGGCTACATTGAGAGTGATATGTCGTGGCGCGTTCCCTTACTAATGCAGTGCGTGATGGGAGCCCTGCTGGGCTTCGGTAGTTTGGTCATTGTTGAATCTCCAAGGTAATGCTCTATCCTTCATTTTGGGTTGCTTGCGTTGACAATTATAGATGGTTACTCGACAATGATCACGATGAGGAGGGTATTGTGGTTATCGCCAATCTGTACGGCGGTGGTGATATTCACAACCCAAAGGCAAGGGAGGAATATCGAGAAATTAAGATGAATGTCCTGCTCCAACGCATGGAAGGCGAGCGATCTTACACGGAGATGTTCCGACGTTATAAGACCCGGGTCTTTATTGCTATGTCTGCGCAAGCTCTAGCCCAGCTCAACGGAATCAACGTCATCTCGTACTACGCACCATACGTCTTCGAATCTGGTGGTTGGATCGGTCACGATGCGGTCAAGATGACTGGTATCAATGGCATAACATACTTCCTTTCAACAATCCCACCGTGGTATATAGTGGATCGATGGGGACGTCGGGTTATTCTCCTAACAGGTGCCATCGCGATGGCAATATCGTTATCCCTGGTGTCATACTTCATCTACCTAGATATTGAGGCAACGAAAACATTGGTGGTCGTTTTCGTCATGGTATACAACGCCGCATTCGGCTATTCATGGGGACCTATTCCTTGGCTTTACCCGCCGGAGATCCTACCGCTTAGCATTCGATCGAAGGGAGCAAGTTTATCTACTGCTTCCAACTGGGCTTTCAACTGGCTAGTGGGCGAAATGACCCCTATTCTACAAGAGTGGATCAAGTGGCGATTATACCTGGTGCATGCATTCTTCTGTGTGGTCAGTTTTGTAGTGGGTAAGTATAGTTTCTTCTACCTCATTGTCAACGCCGCTAACTAGAAGTAGTGTACTTCATATATCCCGAGACTTGCGGAGTACGACTAGAAGATATGGACTCGCTCTTTGGAGATGCTAGCACAGCAGCCGGAACACCTGGCTTGAGGTCTGAGACCGGCTCTCTGGTTAGGGCCGGATCGCCCGTCCCCTCGCTCGACCTTCGAGGACGGCCACTTGGCCCAGACACTAGCATCCCCTCAATGGACGTTGACCCTCCTGTGATCAATATCGTAGACGGAAAGCCGCAGCTACGGTCTGAAAGCCAAAGTTCACGAGGGCGTGTAGGCGAATGGCTAACTAGGATGGTTGGGCAAAACCGGGGAGGTAGCAGCAGTCCGGCCGGAGGAGGCAGATACGCGCCATTAGACCAGCGAGATGACTAAATTTACGAGACAGCGAGTATTGAATTTGTGACGGGGGACTACTAGACTCTGATTCATATAGACGGCGCGGCGGAAATCCTAACGGCTACGACGGCCGTATTCCAGCATTATTGTAAAATGTTTGCATTGGGTTATCCGGCGCATCATGCGGGGCCCCTACGACGAGTGACAGAGACGGAAGAGAAATGGAGATACGAGTTTCGTAATATATCGTGATGGGGGGGACTTTCTTTCGCATAGCCGGCCGAGAGTCCTGATGAACTAGGGTCGTCGGCCGAAACATGATATCTACCAGTGCTCAGGACGAAGATTATGAGCTTTAGACTAGAGGGAGTCTGTTCAGGTTAATATTGAACGCGAAATCATCAACGAGCTATTTTCAGTGACACCTGACGACACAAAATTCTACGAGCCAACCCCAGTCATGCGTCTCTACTAAGTAAGCTATGGTTTCTCCTGAGCATATTGGTCGAGTTTGGATAATAAATAGTACGCGGGCGGAAAGGTTATATGATATTTTCATTTACCTAGTTAGACCAATTGTATGTACAACTAATTGTGAAGTTAGCAGCTAGGCTCAATTCGATGGTACTACATATGTATATGTGTATGTTAAATACATAAGGTATGCGGATATCATAATGTCAATCACATGTTTGTCGACTAGAGTCTAGAGGTGCAGTTTGTCTTCTAGAATACCTGTGGACCTCGATCTCGAAACAGATCGTAACATCGGAGCCAGCTAAGGTCCGATGAAGTGGGATAACTGCATTAGGTGGGTAGGTACATGTTTACGTACATATGTAATTTCAAAGTGTCATCATCGTACGCGCGTGTCAGATAGATGAAACATTAAGTAAGGTGTCCTTAAAGAGGCACGCAGTAGGTAGACAGGTACAATAGGCCAGGCTGGAAGGTAGGATGATACTAAATAAAGCTAGCTGCACAGGGGGCCAAGGGGGGGAAACATTTTAGCGTATCCCTATCCAGGCTGTCCTTCACTTTTTTATTTTTAATCGGTTCAGCTGAAGCAGGAAAAAAATATGAGTGGAAGATTGGAAAGTGCCAACTGAAGCCGGACTACGGCTAGGGTATCCTGTACTTCGTATTTTGTGTTATCATTATCGTACAAGCCACGCAACCTCTCATTTCACCTTTCTCTTAACTAACTTGCTTTTCTTTCGAGGATCAAGTTCCCCCCATTGTATTCTCTCTCGTGGCCAAGACTTTAATCCGTCCTTGTTTTGTGTGGGGAGAATGTTCTACGTTTGTCGTCTTTGACCGAATTTAATCTGTTCTCTTCAGGACATTCATTTTCTTGACCCTTTTCTTTTTTTCTTCTTGTCTCTTTTCCGTAAGCCCTCTTTTACACCACACCCCTAATACTCGTTCCACTATCTACTCCCCTCTCCCATTTCCACCTTTCTCCAAGGAGAATAGGGCCGAGAGATAGTCTACAATCATGGCCGATAACAAGGCCGCAGTCGCGTCGGGCGCTGATCCCGCCGGCGATGCCGCTCGCCGACGTATCGTACCCGGGGCCACTGCCCCTGGAGCTCTAGCGCAGCCGGAGATCGACGAGAAGAAGATACATGGAAAGAAGAAGGTATAACTAGACATCATATATGCGGCAAGTCTTTGTTGGAATACTAGCTTACTTCGATGTGCTTAGGAATCTTCGTTCCTCGATATACTTGACCAGTGGGAGTTCATCATTGCGCCTATAATCTTCACTGCCTTTGCCGTCTTCACACGTCTATGGAAAATTGGTCTTAGCCCAATTGTCACCTGGGATGTAAGTTTAATAGTCATCATATGGTTCCGGAATGTCCGCTAACAGCCTCAAAGGAAGCTCAGTCCGTTAAGCCCTCCATTCGTTCTTCTACCGTAACGCTAACCCGTGGCCCCCCTTTATAGCTTCGGTAAATTCGGATCCCACTATATTAAGCGTGAACTATTCTTCGATGTGTTAGTACGACTGGAACCCTCGGTTGGAATATTGTTTTTAATGCGTGGAATAGGCACCCTCCTCTTGGTAAAATTCTTGTTGGTCTCTCTGGAGTTCTAGCGGGTTACAATGGGTCATTCGAGTTCAAGTCTGGCGAGACATACCCCGAGGAGCTTGACTACACCTTCATGCGAGCTTTCAATGCATTCTGGGGAATATTATGTGTGCCATTGGCTTACTACACTGCCAGAGAATTGCAGTTAAGACGACCTGCCGTCTGGCTAGTTACCCTGATGGTTCTGTGTGAAAACTCGTACACGACTATCAGCCGATTCATCCTACTCGACTCTATGCTCCTCTTCGGCACCGTCTCCACTGTCTTCTGCTGGGCCAAATTTCATCGCCAGCAAAAATACAGCTTCGAACCCGAATGGTTCTTCTGGCTATTCATGACTGGGTTAAGCTTAGGATTCGTATGCAGTATCAAACTCGTCGGACTCTTCGTCACGGCTCTCGTCGGCATCTACACGATCGAAGACCTTTGGAACAAGTTCGGTAACACTAAGATGCCAGTCGCGGTACTCGCTGGTCATTTCACTGCCCGAGTCGTCGGTCTAATCGTCATTCCGCTGCTCGTCTACCTGTTCTCCTTCGCGCTTCATTTCGCGATCTTGACCAGGAGTGGTCCGGGAGATGCGCAGATGAGCTCCCTCTTCCAAGCCAACCTGGAAGGGAGTGAAATTGGACGGAACTCTCCCCTGGAGGTTGCCTTTGGCTCCAAAGTGACGCTTAAGAATATGGGATACGGTGGTGGTCTACTCCACAGTCACGTTCAGAGTAAGTATTCGACGCTTTATCGTGCTGTCTAATTTATGCTAAACTGTCATTAGCGTACCCTGAGGGATCTACTCAACAACAAGTTACTTGCTACCACCATAAAGATGCCAACAACGAATGGTGGTTTTACCCTAACCGTAACGACCGCGACTATAACCCGGAGGAAGAGCCTCGATTCATCGGAAACGGTGATGTTATCCGCTTGATTCACGCTCAAACTGGACGAAACCTCCATACCCATGATATCTCTGCCCCTATTACTAAGAGCCAGAAGGAAGTGTCCTGCTATGGTAATCTTACTATTGGTGATGATAAGGACCACTGGCAAGTCGAGGTCGTCAAGGACGTGTCTTCCCGCGATAAGAGCCGCGTACGAACTTTGACTACTGCTTTCAGACTTCGGAATCCAGTTATGGGTTGTTATCTCCGAGCTGCCAACGTTAATCTTCCACAGTGGGGTTTCAAGCAGATCGAGGTGACCTGCGATAAGAGCAACAACCCCCGTGATGCTTTCACACACTGGAATGTTGAGGCCCATACCAACGAGAAGCGTAAGTCGTACCAAATAGACGTCTAGATATCCAATTATTAACCGAGTCGCAGTTCCTCCGGGAGACCCTGGCAAGTATAAGTCACCGTTCTTCCACGACTTTATCCACCTGAACGTTGCTATGATGACATCTAACAACGCCTTGGTGCCTGACCCCGATAAGCAAGACGACCTGGCTTCTAAGTGGTGGCAGTGGCCTATCCTGAACGTCGGCCTGCGTATGTGTGGGTGGGACGATAAAATCGTCAAGTACTTCCTCCTCGGTAACCCCTTTGTTTACTGGGCCTCGACGCTTTCTTTAGGTGCCGTCGGTTTAGTTACCGTTTGGTACATCCTCCGATGGCGACGAGGTTTCACCGATCTTACCCAAGATGATATTGATCATATCCACTACGCCGGGCTTTACCCCATCCTGGGATGGTTCCTTCACTACCTTCCCTTCGTTATCATGGCCCGAGTTACCTATGTTCACCATTACTACCCAGCATTGTACTTTGCGATCCTAAGTTTAGGATTTTTAGTCGACTGGCTCTTAAGGAACCAGAAGAAGGTGATTCAGTACAGTGTCTACGGGATCCTGTACGCCACTATCATCGGCCTCTACATATACTTCATCCCTATCTGTTGGGGTATGACGGGCAGCAACCAGAAGTACAAGTACATGAAATGGTTCGACTCCTGGCGCATCTCCGATTAAGGGCCGGATCAAATATAGGGGACGAAGTGACGAACCGAGGTTACGGTAGGCTGTTTAGCCTCGGGTGTTTTTCATATAGAGCATGGCCATCCGGACTACCTGGTTATAAGGGTCATCGATAAATCTTCATCTCCTCTATTTTCTCGGTTGTTTGATGTAACGATATGAAGGCAAACTTGCATGAAAGGGAATTAGAGAGTGGAGTTCACGGTGGTAACGTGGATGAGGCATACTGGGAAACAAAAAAGACTACTGATCAGCAGCATATCGCTTTCTAATACAACGCCTATTGTCCTTTTCTTCCAAGAAATATGTGGTATTTCGCAGTAGATCACGGTGCCTAACGAAGGAGTTTAGAAATAGTCGCAGTGGTGAAGTGCCATCTTATCGTAGTTGATGTTTCAAAGTAGACATTACGTAGGGTATCATCGAATGCGTATGCGATGCCTCCAGTGTGTGCAAGTATATGTACAGTACGGTCGCAAACCCGGACCCGACCTTAAATAGACGTCTGGTCTTTCCGGTCAAACTCCCCTATGTCTGACATGAGAGCTGCCGATACACATAACCCAAATTGCTAACTCATGTCCATGCCCTTTCCTTTCTCTTATATTATCCGATCCGAACAACTAACTAACTAACAACAGCCACCCGTCATACCCCTACCCGCGTCGGCAGATAACCGGACGTTCTTCGCGCCGCCGGGCCCAGGCCCCTTGACGCCGGAGCGGCGATCGTTAAGGTCGTACTTTCCGGCGTTGATGTTCTCGAATATGCGCTCGGCGACGCGCATAAAAGCTTCCTCGACGTTCTCGCCCGACTTGGCCGACGTCTCGACGTATTGCAGGACGCCGTTGCGGCGGGCCCAGTCGGTGGCTTCTTGGGTCGTTACTTCGCGCTTGTTAGGGGCGTTATCGTTATCGTCTTCGGAGGCGGGCTGCGCTTGGTCTAGTTTGTTCCCGACTAGGATCACCACGATGTCGGGGTCGGCGATGGCGCGCAGGTCGTTTAGCCAGTCGGTTACGTGGGCGAATGTCGATTTCCGGGTTATGTCGAAGACGAGGAGGGCGCCGGATGCGCCGCGGAAGTAGGACCTGGTTACGGATTTATACTAGAGGGGAGGGGGCGGATTAGTGGGTTGTTCGTTTGCTTGTTTGTTGTTTGCTTGCCCTGGGTATAAACGGTGGGGAGCTGTTTGGTCATTTGACAACTTCCAAGCTCTCGAACTTCTCGTTCCGATGGTAGATGGGATGGGTCGCGTAGTACACACCGTTTCTTGTCCCGCTGTGTCCCAAAGGGATAGTTTCATGTGCTTTTGCGGTGGGGAGGCGCGCGGGGGTTCGGGAAGGCCCCCGTCGGCCGCGGAGGATTTGGAGGAGTGTTTGGAATGCGGCGGGCCAACGGGGACGATCCTAGAGCCGAATTCCACGCCGATGGTGACGTCGTGCTGCGGGCTGAAGCGCCCCTCGCAGAGCCGGATCGTGAGCGACGACTTACCGCATCCCGAGTCCCCGATGCAGACGAGCTTGGCGATGTAGTCCCAGGGCGGGGAAGACATTACAACAAAGGTTGCAAATCGGAAAGGAAAGGAGACGAAAGGAGACGAGACGAGACGAGATGAGGGTTTGTCGTTACGATCAGTCACAAGACTCGGACCGGCGTAATGGAAGCGGAAAGAGAGGGACGGCGATCCGTTGCAAGCAGGACGTGTTTCTCTACTACGGCAAAGGAAAGAAAACCTAGGCGCTATCAAGAATTAGTTTTAGTTTTTAATAAATTTGATTTGGCTAAAGGGTAACTAAGGGCACAAGACAAGACTATAGTATAACTGTATAAGCACGTGGAGGGAATCAGAGACAAGTCGTTTAGGAATATGTACCTAGGTTTACCTTACATAGGGTGTGTATGTAAGCTTTGAGGACAAAGAAAGGTGATTATCATCAATGCAAGTGACAAGTGATGAAGGAGTAATGTACTATGTAGTTGTTTGGGGATGTAGTGTAAATGTCCAAGGCCATAAACGGCATACCATTTCGATGATGTCGCCAAGGATCAGCTTTAAACCCGCCTAATAGTAAACGTTCCGCCTCTGCGCCTGCGGGTCGGGCAAGCTTCCCCCCTAGCCTATCCTCAGCCTATCGATAATGTACGCCGATGGGTTGCGATGGGGTGCTAACTCAGGTACGATATGTACTGACAAGGCTCCTATCGACAGGGGTTTCGCTATCGGTACATGGGGAGGCCGGGGGAGGCTGGACCACCTGGGCAGCGCCGATAGCGCCTGATTTATAGTAGGGTGGATGACCTCACCTCGTTAGACACCTGGTATTCTATTAAAGGCTCGTGACCGGAACTTGCACCATATGTCTGCATTTCATAAGAGGTCATTATCGGCCAATGGAAGAGTTGGTGACTTTTCTTTTTCTTTTTTTCCCTACGGACATCTTGGCACAAGATCTAGGTATATTAATTCTATGGACGGGATGATTCGTCGTACAATACTTAGGCAACTATGCTAGTTACGCACCTGAATGTCTAACCTAGGTATCTTATCTTCGATAAGCTGGTTTAAGTCAAATACAAGTGGTTGGATTATTGGATAGCTGCAGGGACCCTTTAAGCAACAAGTTGGTGGGACTTGTTACGCCGCGGCGCAGGCAATACTTGTCCGCTACCTGGTATTCCACTTTGACCGCTTCCGTAATGGATTTCTAGCGGGACTAAAGTCCGGATAAGCAGGCAGTCGTACTGTACGATGCCTATGCCTACCTGGTACATCTATGTAAATAATAGGTCTATGCCTACCTCATACAATACATACAATCGCACCTACCTACCTACCTTACCTTAGGTACATCTCAAACTACTAATAGATGCTAAATGGGCATTGGACGCCTGCATGTGAGCAATCCGGGAGTCATCCATCAATCCCTCCATCTGCATCACTTTCTCAACGACGCTGCTGCTGTCGACCCCCAACAGCTTCTACTAATTTAATTTTACCGTATACTTCTTCAAACCCCCATCTTTCCCACGGTCCAATATTCAATACTCAAATTCCATGTTTAGTACCTTGGTTTTTCCTTTATTGGCGGGTTAAATCATACCGGGTTCTTAGTTTATCATAAGCATTCAAGAAAGTCGTATTGTTTGCATCACCGTGCCATCGTCACCGCTGATTAATTTGCTTTTTTTTTCCACATCCTCGAATCCCGCCTAACTCTACCCGACGTTCCTCATCCCCATCTTCATCGTAATCTGCGGGAGTCTACCCCCTCCTGCGCTTTGATCGAATATGTTCTCAGAATGTAAGTTGTGCTTCTGCCTATTGACTTACAAGCCAAGTCTGACGCCTTGGCCCAAGATGCGTCTAGGTTCCTAGCCCAGTCGCAGTCTCGGTTATCCAATTTCGGTCAGCCGGACAACAACGAACTGTCGAACCGGCAACCACAGACGACGCCAGGTCGATTCTCAGGTAGAAATCCCACACGGTCTTCGTACCAGACTCGATTAGGGAATCCTTATCAACCCTCAAATTCGCGGTTCGGAGGCTTCTCGAGGTATAATACTACCTCGGATGCCCCGCTATTTCATAGTGCCTTAAACGAGTACCGAGAAGACGAGGATGAGGACGATGCGAGAGAAGCTGCGGATCTTCGGGCCTTGCAGCGGTCGCGTCGGGTTTTTGTTTCAAGCCGCCTAGAGGAGAGCTCGGCTTCGGAGAACGATGACCTTCGCGCCTCGTCCGAGCACAATGAGAGTGAGTCGTACGGGAACTTATACTCGAGCGCTCGTCCTATAGGTGGTATCAAGAGCAGTTGGAACGGGGAGTCAAGCTTCAAGGATAGACATTCAAAGCGCGAGGTAGTCAAAGACCCAGACGGCCCGGGCAACCCCCAGCATCAGCGGCAGAACTCCGATACGGATGAGAGTGGAAAGATGGTCGATATCGGCCTGGAGTCGACGGTGTTAGACAATGAGGTACCCGATGATCTCTTACAAGAGACTCCTACAGACTCAGCACCACCTGCATTTCAGCAGTTCAAGTCTGGGTCGAGCGGTCCGAAAGCCGTAGCCGGACGGAGAGGCTCGAATCTAGAGCATGATCAGCGTCTAATGCGACAGGCTATAGCAGAAGAGGACGAGACGGAGGAAGAAGAGCGAAACGAGATTCCTGCACCTACGCCCACGCGAATGTATGGCGAGATCTTTGTGCATGACCAATTCTTCGCATGGATCTACCTTATAGCCATCGCTTCCCTTTTCGCGACCTTCGTATTAGTCTGGTTGCATACCTCTGTACCGGGCAGGAAGATTGGCGACACCATATACACGACACTCCATTCGTCGTTTTACCTCCTGGCTGTAGATACGTTAGTCTCAATAATCGTCGCCCTGGTTTGGATGGCAGCGTTACGGTCTTTTGTTCAACCCTTAGCTCTGCTCATCCTGCTAGGCGTCCCGATCGTCCTCTTTTCATTTTCGTTGTATCCGATGATTTCCAGCTTCCAGGGACCAGACCACGGATCACGAGTACAGGACGTGGTAATGAGATATGCGTCCATCATCCCAGGGGCCTGCGCAATCGTTTGGGTATGGTTATTATATAAGGGACGTCACGAAATACAGAGGGCGGTTGACATATTGGACTTCTCTAGTCGCATCCTTGCGGCCAATCCGGCGCTGGTGCTTCTCGGACTCGGTTCACTAGGCTTCGTTGTTGGGTGGACGTGGATATGGCTATGGATGTTCACAAGAATCTTCCTTGGGGGCTACTTTTCTAAGTCGCTTTCGGCCTTTGTCATCGGCACTGCGACGTGGTGGTTAGCGGTCTTTTTCTTCCTTATGTACGTTTGGACTCTTTCCGTCATGAGCGGAGTTGTACGTGCTACTACTGGAGGTACCGTTTCGAATTGGTATTTTTTCCGCAACAATCAGTCATCCGCCTCGTCGAATGCGATTGTCAAGGGCGCGCTAGGACACTCTACGACTACGGTGTTTGGGACTATTTGTGCCTCGACCCTACTATCCCTGGCAGTCCGGATTCCCATTCTGATCCTACCTCGCCGGATCTCGAGCATCTTCGAGTTCATAGGATGGCGACTAGCTCCTCGCCCGGTGTCAGTCCTAACCAACCCTCTGGCATTAACATATGCGTCGATTCACTCATTACCCCTCATGGAGTCGGCATCACAGCTTAGTAGGATACAGTTCCTCGCCACGGGACCCACTACAACTCTTACACCGAGCGCATTCTCCCGACGTGGACAGTCATCAGCAGCGTTAATGCCCTACAGAATGGCAAAGATGCTGCTCCATGCCGCACGATTCGTCATGTCAACAGCTTTGGGTTTTGCGGCATGGGTTATGACCGCGCGGCAGTTAGAGGTTCAAATACCAGAGGGTCACGGCGTCAGAGGGAGCGCCTATGCTTACGTGGTAGGTATGGTAGCTAGTATGATCGGCTGGGGCGTGTTGGGGGCAATGGAAGGTATTCTTTCAGGTATCCTCGACGGTGTTCTTATATGCTACGCTAGTGAGAGGCGGTTGGGTAGCGAACGGGCAACTTACTGCATTGAGGCGGCGCGGTTGTTCGAGGAGAGGAGGTATGACGAAAGGGATATGGTTTAATGGTATTTTCTAACTATACACACACACATTGCACTTTTAGCTTCGGCGTTAGCGTTTGGCCACCAACGATGGCGGATAGGAGTCACGCGAGATTGGACATGCTAGAATTAAAGACTGCGGGGAGTGTTTTACTACATAGCTGCTGCGTCGGCGGTGCGCTTCGTGTTGCTGCTTATAAAACATCGTTGGGTTTGTTCGTCGAGGAGCGGTGGTTTTGCATTCGTCTTGACTAGCCAAAACTGGTTCACAAGAGGCAAGAGCACTGAGGACTCGTCCAACGATAAATAAGAATGGTAGACTATTAGAACCAAGCTCGACCTCTTGCACTTTACCTGCTCATCCTTCTTTGCTCCTAAACCACAACTCTTAAGTAGTACCTAAAGTAAGTAATAACTTGCTGGCTTGCCAACTAATACGACGACATCATGAGGACCAAAGACGACCTGATCGAGCAATGTCGCAAGGAGATTCTCAAGCGTGCTGCCATGATGACCGGGCTGGAGGCGCAGCCTGAGCCTATTCAATGGGATGGTATGATATCCCAGTCGGGTGAGTATATATACGCACACATGTGATATTCTACGATCTATTCGTTGTCTTATGATTTAGGATGGAGAACTGAGTGATTGATTAATTAATAGAAGATTCGAAGGAATCGACCGAGGAACAGCACAGTACTGCCGAGGACAGCAAGGCTGATGAGGACGTTGAAGTCGAGGAGGATAGTGATTGGGAAAATATTTCCCCACGTGAGGTCAAGAAATGTAAGGATAATGTTCTTTATTTCTATCTTGCTTTCTCGCCTCCTCGCATACTTACCCACTACTACTATCTCTATCCATTCCTTGCCCTCGTAAATCATCAGGCTTCCTACTCGCAGTCTCTGCCCATCCCCCCCATTCGTGAGAGAGCAGCTTTTCTATACCAACGTATACTGGATGGATAGCCAAGAGTCTAACCGGTCAACCTACTCAAGGCTCCGACGACTACTACGGCAAATACGTCAAGGAGCGCCCTATCGAGCAGGGCGAATGGGCTCGACGTAAATAAAGTACCCGTCCCGCAGCCCACGGCGGAGTGGTTTAAGCCGCCCCCTCCCGAGCCCAAGGGCAAGCGTGGTAGTACTACCGCTGCCGCTGCCGCTGCCGCTGCCGTTGGTACTGGTGCTGGTGCTGGCCGTATCAAGGGCTGGGTAAACGGCATTCTACGCCCGAAGAAGCCGGCCGAGAAGGAGATCAGCGACGAGCCGTACGTCGAAATCAACACCAGCGGCGAGTCTGACACCGACACCGACACCGACTACCAACAGCAACAGCAGCCTCAGCCGCTGCTGTCGTCGTCGTCTGGGCCCCCGGTCGGCGCGCAGGGACGCGCGGACGGCAAGGTTCGGGATAGCTGGCGGGCGGGGGGGTATTCCGAGCCAGCGGAAGCCGAATTGTGCGGTCTTTGGTACGCCGATGAGGACTTGATTTGGAGGGTGGGTGGGTTTTGCTGGCTGGCTGGGAGTGTATGAGGGATGGGATGCGTGTAGGTATGTGTATGTGGATTTTGATCTACTATACATAATACATACATACGGATTGGCAGACTGGTTGGCTATATACTACCTATAAGCTTGGAGGGTCTATCTATCTACTATCTAGGGACAGCAAGGAGTTAGTTGGTAACGGGCATAGGTATACCCCAGGTTTGATTCTTCTGGGAACGGAGTTACTCGGAGTTAAGGCTGTTTAATGTATTATTGGATACTTGATCATAGCCTGGAGTAGATAGTTTTTTCTTCCTTTTTTTTTTTTATGAAATAGAATGCTTGTCCCGATATCTTGCCCTAACAGAAATAGTCTGAAATGACCGAGTTTCATGTGAGTATCGAGTGAATCCACTTTGCTCTATTATACGAGCCCGAGAGGTAGCCAAGTCATGAGCACCGAGGTGTTTAGACTAGGCCCCGTGTTATTACATACTATCGTGGCTCGGAACTCGCAATTCGTAAGCTGGCTAACATTATTCGAATACCTATGCGAAAGTGACTTACTATATACGTGGTTGAAGCAGGGACTCGTGACATTGTCATTGTTGGTGCTGGTGTCGTCAGCTTGGTCTTCTGCAAGATAGTGAGTGTATCGTACTTGTAAGTCCAAGACAAGGAAAGAACTCAGCCACACTCTGCTCAGATGGTGATTGGTTTTAAGTAAGGTCTCCGACAAGAGAAAGGGGTCCGGGGGGCAAATAAGAAGTCGCTATCGGTTACACAATCGATCCGGGGGAAGCTGATAGGTACTTACAAGTACTTCGTACAAAGACGATTATCGGCTTTGCAGTTGCCGACTGCGAAGTTGGAGCTAATTAGGGGCGGTGCTTGGAGTTATACACTTGCTCATGTATGTACAAAATGTCATGTCATGTCCATGTACCCCTTTGACTTACATACATGTATGTACCTATGTATGTATATCGCCTCGCCTCATCAAATCATCTCCTCGTAGCATAATCTAGAATCGCATTTCGACAGAAAACCGCAGTAACCACCCTGCAAGCCTGTTACTATTTATTCTCATTAGCTGATCCTGCAGTAACACCATCTTAACTTATTTCTCTCACGAAGTAACCTAAATTAAATACTTGCATCTCTACAGAACATCCATCCATCCATACATTAGTTTAGTTACTCTCCTTCTCCTTCGCAACATCAAACCCCTCCTTACCTATCATCAGGACCCCGCTTCCTCGCGCAAGTCGATCGATCAACTGATCAACCGAATACTTCACACCTCAATATTAATAGTATAGACAAATCAACTTCAATTTCTACACGCATGGCTGATTTCGCCGCTCCTCCCGGCCCGCCGCCCCCCAAGGTCCCCGAAGGTTGGGTCGCCCGCTGGAACGATCAATACCACGAATGGTGAGTCCCTATCCCCCATTATCTCGTCAAACCGCCATCTTCTAACCCGCTCTGTTCCCTCTAGGTTCTACGTTAACACCTACACCAAGAAATCCCAATGGGACAGACCTACCGAGCCAGCCGTAGACCCTAACCGTCACGATGACGGCGCGCCCCCCGGTCCTCCCCCAGGCTACACGCCGGGCTCCGGACCCTCGCCCACCGACTCCAAGAACAACCCCTTCGTGAACGAGTCAACGAAGCCCGGGTACGGATCTAGTTCACATGTGGACGAGGACGCGGACGCTCGGTTGGCCCGCCAGCTACAGGAGGAAGAGAATGCGCGCACTAGAGGTGCCGCCCAGTCCTACGCCAACACACCCACACCGCCCCAGGGCTACTCGCCATATCCCGATCAGCTGCCTCCGCGCTCATCCGGCGGCAGCAACCCCGCCGACAAAGCCAAGGGTCTACTCGGCAAGTTCTTCGGCAGCGGCAAGAACAAGCCGCACGCCGGGTACCCCGGCCAGCAGCAATACAGCCCCCAGCCCCAACAACCCTACGGCGGATACGGTTCTCCCCCTCCCCCTCAGCAGGGGTACTACAACGGTCCTCCGCCTCCACAGCAATACGGCGGCTACGGCCCGCCTCCAGGCCAGTACGGCGGATACCCTCCCCAAGGCGGCTACGGCGGTTATCCCCCGCAGGGCGGGTACTACGGGCAGCAGCAACCGCCTAAGAAGAGCGGAGGCGGCATGGGCATGGCGGGAGGCGCGGCGCTGGGCGTGGGCGCGGGATTGTTGGGCGGTGCGCTGATTGCGGATGCGATCAACGACGAGCAGCAGGAGGCGTATGCGGAGGGCTATCAGGATGGCAATGGTGGTGGGGATTATGGTGGCGGCGACGACTTTGGTGGAGATTTCTAGACGCCATGCTGCGTTGCGTTGCGTTGCGTTGCGTTGCGGTATGTTTTAAAAGCAAATAAGCATACATCGAATGTCGTCTTCGCATTTGTTTTTTTCTTTTTAACCATCAGCTCGAGTGAGGGACGAGAATAGGAGGGTTATGCGGCTCGAATAAGACAGACGAACGAGACTCGTATTAGGCATTAGGAGGCGTTGATTATGAATGGCAGCAAGACTAAGCATAGGGACGAGAACGAGAATGAGAACGGGAAAGGAAAGGATACATAGGGAGAGAAGTTCAGATCGAGATCGACTCGATGCTTGCTTGGGTCTGGTACATATCATAGGTCCTGCGGCATAGCGCAGAAAGAACGCTCGTTCTAGGTGCTTAGGCGTATTAATGCGATGGCAATTTAATCCCTGCAACTGAATGAATTTGAAAGCAGAGCCGTCTTCGTCTTATGATAGGCGTCATTATTCTCTCTTCCCCGGTTCATGATTTATGCTATGTATTTTCCCAAGTGTCTAGATATTCTAGTACGTTTTAGGTAGGTATATTATACTCTTACTCTTCGCACCTGTGTCTTTTTACACGATCTACCTCTTCCCGCCTTTAGACGACGCGGGCTCGGCGTCGTCCTTCTTGGCGCCCTGGCCGGCGAGGTACGCGGCCATGTCGAAGTTGCCCATGGGGTTGGCGCCGGGCTGGGGGCCACCGCCCATTAGGCTGCTCATCGGGTTGTTCTTCTGCTGCTCTTCCCACTCGGCGCGCATTTCGGGGTCCACTGTGTTGTTGTTAGTCGGATGGTTGGGGATTTTATATTTGAGAAAAGGGGAGGAAGGGGTGGGAAGATGGGATGACTTACTGTTCTCGATTAGCTTCGGCATGCCGATGAATAGGACCATGCTGACGAGGCCCATGAGGATCATGGGGTTCTTGAGGATGCTGAGGATGGAGACTATTTGGTGGGTGTTGTTAGCTTGGTTCAATGGCGTATATGATTTATACCTCTTTTTCTTTGCTCCTCCTCTTGTAGTTTTATTATTATGGTTTGGGTTGGCTGGCTGGCTGGCTGGCTGGCTAGCCATTCTATGCGATGTCCCCCAACAACGGCGAGAAGAGCAGAAAGGAGGAGGGAGACGAGAAAACAGCAGAACGGAATACTCACAAGACCCCCTCTCGACAAAATACTCCTTCGGCCCCAGCGCCCTCACCGCAAAGCCGCTACCGCTCCGCGGCACCTCCTGGCCCTTGTTATCCCAATCGTTGCCGCGGTACGTCTCCCAAGCGCGCACCGCCAACCCCCCTTCTTCTTCTCCTTCTCCCCCGTTCGCCTCCCCTCCTTCATCCGTAGGCGTATTATGCGCCAGCACGTCGATCCTCAGCGGCGCGAAGGCGTGCGTCCGGCTGTGCACGTCGGCCAGGTACGACCCGGGCGTCACGTTCCGGAAGACGAAGGACCCGGCGGTGGTGAGGGGGGCGTCGTAGGCGGCGCGCAGGGCGGACAGGGTTGCGTGCGTGTTATGTGGGAGGACTTGGTGGTTCGGGAGGGATTGCGAGGAGGGGACCCAGAGGGTTATGGTCGCTTGGGGTTGGTGGTGGTGAGGTTTGGAGGAGGCGGCGGAGGGGCCGGCGAGGGCGGAGAGGGCGCCTAGGAGGGCGGTTGAGAGGGATATTTGCATTTTTTTTTCGGATGGTTTGTGGTTTCTGTGGTGGTGTTTATTTTGTGTGTGTGTGGTTTGATGGGAGAGTTGGTGGTTGGGAGAGGTCTTGAAGCTGTGAATTTCGAAGGCTACCTATGATGATGATAGGTACTTGCGTTGTGAAGTACCTAACCTAATGGGGTACGTTAGGTATTGTATTGTACCTCCATGTATGTACAATACCTAATATATGGGGCACGGCACGTCGTTGGGGAAGGATCTTGGCGTCAGCTATACGTAGGTACATATGGGAAGTCTCCAGTTATCAAATCCGAGATGAGGAAACTACTCGTTTTTTTAATAATAAAAAATGTTAATAATAATCAAGGAAGCATTGCTTTTCAAATTTTCATTTGATTCTTTACTCTTGGAGTTATATGAATAAGTGATTTGTCAACATCAGATCACAACAATATCATATCTCCAACGAAACATTCAACTTCTCTTCTTACTAAAAGGAGAGAGTATTTATAAGTTGAATGGGGGGTATATTTATATGCTTCTCAAAAGGCCTATTCATAATTTTAACCTAGACCACTGTTGGTGCTTCCTTCTGCTTAGCCTCACCTCCTGATCCTGTCTCTTCTCCCTTCGTTGTTGCAGCAGAAGCCTTCTTGAAAGACTGCTCAAAGTCGGCAATAATATCATCGATGTGCTCAGTACCAACCGAAATACGGATTAAATCCTCAGTCGTTCCAGAGGCGATCTTCTCTTCATCTGATAGCTGTTCGTGTGTCGTAGTCCAGGGGTGGATAGCTAGAGTCTTGGAATCTCCGACGTTGGCGAGGTTGGAAATCAGCTTGAAGCCATCAACGATTTGGCTACCGGCAGTACCACCACCCTTGACTCCGAAGCTGAGGACACCACCGAAACCCCTCTTCAAATACTTCTTGGCTAGTTCGTGGCTAGGATGGCTTTCCAATCCGAGGTACGACACCCAGCTCACGTAGGGGCTAGACTCTAGGTACTTTGCGAGTGCAAGCGCGTTCTGTGCGTGTCTTTCGGCTCTTAAGCTTAGCGTCTCGAGACCGAGGATGAGTTGTTGAGCGGCAAAGGGATTTAAGGAAGAGCCTAGATCACGTAGGATCTCAACTCTTACGCGGATGGCAAAAGAAATAGGTCCGAAGGTCTCCCAGAACTTGAGGCCGTGGTATCCCTCTGACGGCTCAACAAACTGCGGAAATCGGGCTGCGTTCTTGCCCCAGTCGAACTTCCCACTATCAACGACAACACCAGCAATAGTTGTTCCGTGACCACCAATCCACTTGGTCGCCGAGTGGACAACGATATCTGCACCGTGCTCAATGGGCCTCACGAAGTAGCCTCCAGCTCCGAAAGTGTTGTCCACCTGTTCATGTTAGCATTTAGTATAACTATCATAACATTGTAAGAGATTCGAGCTACTTACTACTACGGGGACACCTTTCTCGTGCGCAACCTTGGCAATAGCTTCAAAGTCCGGGACGTTATACCGGGGGTTACCAATACTCTCGAGATATACGGCCTTGGTCTTATCGTCGATGGCTGCGGCGAATTCCTCGGGCTTGTCGCTCTTGATGAACTTAGTCTTGATTCCGAGCCGCGCAATAAAAACCTTCAATTGGTTGTATGTACCACCGTAGAGGCTGGGAGTCGCGACAATGTTGTCGCCGGCATGAGCGAGGGCGGCGATAGCCATGAATTGGGCAGCCTGGCCAGAAGAAGCTGCAACGGCAGCCACTCCGCCTTCCAGAGCGGCGATACGCTTCTCGAAGACATCAACGGTAGGCTATAGAGGCTATATCAGTATATGTTCAAATTCCCGGACATGAATGACTACTACTACTAACGTTCATAAGCCGGCTGTATATATTGCCAAATTCCTTGAGGCCAAATAGCCTCGCGCCGTGTGCCGAGTCATTAAAGACGAAGCTCTGTTGCCTAAGTTAGCTTCTGATGCAGCTTAATACTTTGCGCCTCGGGTTAGCAGACAGTTGTGGCATATATAGGAACTGCGCGAGAATTCGTCGCCGGGTCCGGCTGTTGGCTACAACAGTGTTAGCCGTTAACATCACCACCAAATTCCCATAGCATCAAGTAAGGTTCATACCCCGCGTGGAGTTGGAGAGTCTCAAAGTTCTTGCTTAATTCCCCCGCCATTGCGGTTGGTTTTGACTATATGTTAAATATATAAATGTTCAATGGATATAGAGGGGTCGTCTCTCGTGTAAGTGGGATGATATATGGACTTGGAGTGGTATCGAACCATATATTGCAGTCCAGCGACCCCGAGAGGAGGGAATAGAGAAGTATTTGAATTCGCGAGCTACCTACAAGACTTACTACGGGAAGGGTATCGCTTGGCTAACTTAGATGTAGATATATACTTGCTCATCATAAACGGCTTCCCGACAGAGGTACTCTACCCGAATCGTCACTTTTAAGACCCTGTTTAGGGAATTGTGGAGTCGGGGTAAAAAGCACGCCATCGACTATCGCCTATGAGCTTGCTCATGTAAGGCATTTTATCCCAGTTAGGGTGGAGGGGTGATTAAGAGTAGAGCTGCGCGTATCTACTATTAGCGAGCTTGTACTTTGGCCGTGCTGCCGTGTAAGTCCGTGTAGTTCGGCGACCTCGCTGTATGACGGGACTTGCTTTTCATTGGGTTTACTTAATTGGATAGCCGGTGAGTCAGTTTTGTCCCCTTCCATCTTGTAATAGTTTTACTTAATAAATATTCTCTAGCTACCTAGTGTACTGTTTGTCTGTCGAGGTATTGACTTACAAGCAATTGGGGCGAAAAAAAGGGGGGTTACCGCGGGGCATCATCCCACGCAAGCCGCTATGAGAAACTACATACCTAAGTAGGTACCTATATAGGTACTAAAGCTGGCAAGCTATGGCGGGGTACGTAAAACATCATCCTATAGCTATATTGCGACAGATTTGGTATTCCCGCGCCGGTAAGTATGTAGGGAGGATATCGGGGTAGGATTCGTGCATATGTAGCCGCTGACTACGGTTAGAGTTATTAGTCCATCTAGATTTCATTAGAGTAAGGCTTGCCGACATCGCTGTTTCGAATCCTAGCCCCTGACGAACAATGCTTAAGGAACCAATCAACATCAACTCAAGTAACAGTGGTGGTATATTGAATTTAATCGTTCCGCCTTCGTAACGCGGATTCTACCATATGAGTTCCCTTTAGTTGTAATAACTATTATTTTTTAATAGTCCCTAAAACGCCCATCGAACCCTCCCCTGGACCATGGATATACTAATTAGCTAGTCATCTAGACCAAGCCTGAATTCCCCAATCCTCTTATTCGTAAACCCCCATTCCCAACCCCAAGATTTGCAGTTCTTATGGCTGCAGGGTATAAGTATCCGAGCCTTTACCCATGTGCAAATAGACGTGATTCCAGCGCCCAATACCCTTTTGGTCCGCTTGGAAGTCGAGCGACGGCCGGTACGGCGAAAGAGGAATGTCCGTATAGCCGCGACTACAGACGGATAGCCCGCCGGAGCTTACGCGGCCGGGGCCTCCTTCATCTCGGATGACTTTAAAGGGCTCTGGGACTTGACACCTCGCTTCGGGAGAAACCCCCCCTGGACTACCTCCTTTCCCGCAAAGATGGCGGAGGCGGTCCAGAGGAGGAACTCCATAGCACCGAATGCGATGCTGGCCTGGGCTGAGCCGCACACGCTGCCACGGCAGAAGAGAAGCTTGCTCATGAAGACTGCGAGAGCGACGAAGCCGGCAAAGTGGAAGAGCGCATTGCTAGTCGTAAGGCCAAACGCAGCCATCGGGTGCGAGACTAAGACGAAGTCAGCTTTTTAATCACTTGTAGCAGCCGCTTTATTTTGATGCTTGGATACTTACTTTTGGGAACAAATCTCGGCGCCAACTCCAAGTAGAGGACAGACACAATTGTGTATAGCGAAGCAAATAACAACAAGTTGATCTGAGAGGGAGAAGAGGTCAATGTATCCACATTGTACCAGTGAGCAACTGTCAAACTCATATTAGTCTCATCGTTCACGTGGGATTTACAATTCCCTTCGTCATGCCAGACATACCGTAAGCTGTGAGGCCCAGTAGAATAATACCAAAGACAAGCTGAGCAGCTCGAATTGCCAGGAAAACGATATTTGAAGACATGTTGGGGGTAGAAAGTTTGGGTATACGGTTGGGAAAACGAGCGTCACGGTGCGTAGTAGTCGTCATAAAATCGGTACTTTAATAATAGATTTGCGCCGGGAGGACAGGGTGAGTTATTTGTACGAATAGCAAGAGCAAGGAGCGACAGCGGCGGCAAAAAAAGAAGAAGAGAAAATATCCTAGAGAAGGGAAGAGAGCACCAGGCACGGGGAACAATACAATACACAGCTTGTTGTGGTAAAACGGGAAGAAGATCGAAGAGAGGAGAGAAGAAAGAAGAGCAGCAGCCAACAAAACCCAGCGATCATGCGACCTGGGGCATCGCTGGCTAATTATCAAGATTTTCCGGAGTCTACAACTTAATCAGGGTGAATATGCTACAGGACCACCCCCCGGCCAACGATGATCGCGCGCGCGCGCCGTTACACTGGAACGGCGGACTCGCTGGGGGGGCGGTTTGCTAGGAGGTGACTGGCGAGACCACATGAAACGCCAGCGATCAGGGATGCGGCCTATGCGCTAGAGATTGGATGTCCCGAATGGAATGGGGGATGCGACGACGCTCGGAACGACCATTCCAGCCCAATCAACTGCCGAGTCGGTATGACCAGGGGAGGGTGGTTCGCAATGCTGGTGAAGCTTAATAGGTAGGTACATGACAACTTACAAGAGATTTTCGTGTTTCTGGTGTCGTTGTCGAACGAGAGCCGGATGCACGGGCCTTTGGGGGTTTGGGGGGTTTTATGGATGGGATGGGGCATTAGATAGATTTTTACATAGATCGATTATTGCGATGCTGGGAGTGCATATATAACGTAGATATGTATGCAAATGTTTCTGACTATTTGTAGATACTGCGGACTATAAGTGACTATTAATTCAAGATGTCTTGCATTTTATGTTAATAGGAGACTTGAACCTTGAGCCTTGTCCGCGTTGGCGGCAAGGCGTAAAATAGTAGGTCAGGGGCGCACAAGACGCGCCCGCCGGGCGCCTACGTGCATAATCACAACGGTTTCCCTGCAAAACTAAACGCTCGATTGTCTAACTGCTGCGTACTACGAGGTACTTAAGTAATACCTCATCTATGTCAAGGTCTACGTAGGAATTATTTTCACATACACTTAGACTTAGGTAGTTAAAAGTGAAATAGAAGACAACGATTAACTAACTATTTGATATGATATAGGTAAAAGCGCACAGAGACGTTGAAACATGGATCGTGGGGAAGAAGCCAAAAATAGGTAAACAAGAGCCCTTGAAAAAAACTAACCCGGGCTTTTGTGTCAGAAGATTGATCTGAATCTTAAGCACATCTTGGCTGCCGAAGCTATGTCGTGCAAGAGTTCGAGACTGGTCTCGAGTGCCGGCACGTACGCAGCCAAGAAAGATGCCTGGGATGCTGCTTGTACATATGTTTTGTACGTTGTGAGGAGGAAGAGCGATGATAGATAGGTATGTGGAGTTGTTTGACTTGTGAATGTGTGATTATCTCTTCAGAGTATGCATTCCGATCTAACTATTTTGGTGGTGTATCGTGGTTGTTGGATGGCCATTAGTATAAATGGACATACATGAAGGTAATTAAAGATGTTTATATTTCGTTTTTCATCGAGGAGCATAGCATATGTATACTAGACTCCTATCGAGTCCTAATTGTTAACCTCCGTCTATGGCACATAAATAACCTAGTAATTTACTTCTGGATAGGTACCTTCCCCGGAGCTGGTGGGGCCATTTTCGGAGACCATGTTCCCTCCGAATAGAGATCTAAGATTTATCCCGAGAAGTGGATTCCGATGTACGGATCCGTAGGACTGTGTCGCCATCTCCTCGTAATTTATGCCGAGTATTCTCTTGAGATGATATAATGCTTTAGTATGTCACGTTATAATAAACCGATATTTGCTTGAAAGTGGTGAAGACCCAGTACTTATTTTTTTTCTCAAATAAATATCACTTTCTAATTCAACTATGTCACGATATAGTTCTTGTAGGCTACGGTAGCATCGTTAGTGGCTTTACAAACCGCGAGACATGAAATGCCTGTTAAGTAAATTCTCATAGCGCTTTCAAAAGAGCAAGAGACCTCTTATAAAACCAAATGAGATAAATATATAAGGATTGATAATAGACGACGGTTATTTATTTAAAGGTTGACTTTAATGCTTTACTAAATAGCTTCTTCAAGCTCTTCTGCTTGCGATAGTTAAATAAAAGATAAGTAACAGGTAGATACTAAGATATCGTTCAATTGCTTGCTCGGTATACTCTGATTTAATATCCTTATGACGTGATGGGAAATTCCAAGTGTCTCCTGGGAAATACCTATTCTTAGACATGTCTTCAGCTATTCGGCCCCGAATGCCGCGGACCGGCTGCGGGTTAATAAGCCTCACTGTACATAGTGTAAGTCAGATGCCAAGCTGCCAGTTGGAGGGATTAAAATTCGGAGTTCAAAAGTGGCTGAGACATGATGCATATGGTGATTACCTACTCGTTACATTTGATATGCTACCTAAGAGACCTGAGATAGGTAATATTTATGTTATTTTAAGCTGAAGATGTTGGGCTTCAGTAGGAGTGCTATACCACCAATATGCTTAAATTACATGCAGAAGTGGATATGCATGACTTGAGCAATGACGTCTGGTACCTTTCGAAGAAGGAATAGGCAGGAATAGGCCTGCGTTAGGTTTGTCCAATGAGATCTGACTTATTCGGCAAATCCCCCATACTACTACCCCGAGGTCGAGGATCAGCCAATTAAACCGCGCGCCTTCTGCGAACGCGAGTCCCCCAGACCTCGGCTCAGTTGGGCGAAGGTTCGCTAGATTCAATGCATTGGCAGGCCTAGCCTAGCACATGTCGAAAGCAACCACATTGCAAAAAGACCCTTAAAAAGCTGAAAGGAACGCCTTACTTATGTCAGGAGGAATTTAGTATAGCAATTGCACTTTTTACAACATACCGTCCTCTCTGACTCGGAAAGCTGAACGATTATTTCTTTTTTCTTTGTCGGCGTACTTTAGAGAGTAGTAGAGGAGCTAGCGAGTTTATTAGCTTATCAAGGCAGTAGTCTACGCGCTAACCCGTCTTTACTACCCGCCTCGGCATCTATTCCTACTCCAAGTGGGTCACGGGCTGAGTAGCAACTTCGGAATAAGCATTGCGAGTCGCGACTACCCAGACAGCCAGATCAGAATTTCCCCTTAAGTCCCTTCACATCTCTTCCTCCGTCATTAGGAGCTTATCTTCAACTTTGCGACCTCTTCTGTTCTGATTCATACCTATTACTTCTACCGTCAATTCGTCGTGTTACGCAACAAAGATGGCTGGAATAGGACCCGATCCGAAGGTCGAAGCTTATATTAAGCAATTGTCGACGCCTCCTCCGCCCGGTTCACCTTATTCTCTACCTGTTCCTGGCACCGAGCGAGAGGATCGATCTCCCATCTACAGGCACTGGCGATTTCAAGACAAACCCTTACTTGACACCTTCACACCGGAAATACGTACATTTTACGAATTGTTTCAGGACGCCGTCAAGCGATTTCCCAATAACAAATGTCTCGGTACACGACCCTGGATCCCGGAAACTCAGTCGTGGGAGAACGGCTATGTTTGGCAGACCTATGGCGAGGTCGCGGCGCGAAGCAAGAATTTTGGTTCCGGTATATATGAGCTTCATCGCCGAATCGGAATTCCGCCTGGCAACCATGGCGTTGGTATCTGGAGCCAGAACAGAGCCGAATGGCAAATAGCAGGTAAGATGTTTTTACGCTTGAAACGGCTATGAGGATCAAGGCTATTCTCGCGACAGCATTTGCTAACATTATTTGACAAAAGATCTCGGATTGAGTTCCCAGACGCTCTTCTCCGTCTCGCTATACGAAACTCTCGGTCCCGATGCGTCTGAGTACATTATCAAGCATTCCGAACTTGCCTGTGTGGTTTCCTCGCTACCTCATATAGCAACCCTCCTCGCCCTTGCGCCCCGAATACCTTCCCTTAAGTTGATCATCTCTATGGATCCCCTGGACGCCGGAGAGCAGAACGGTTACTCTAAAAAGGCGCTATTAAACGATATCGCTGCCCAGCACGGAGTCCAAATATGGTCGTTCGAGGAGGTCGAGGAGCTTGGGGCAAAGGTAGCTCACCCTCCTCGTCCCCCTCGCCCAGAAGATATCCTCACCATCAACTATACGTCCGGTACTACTGGTGATCCCAAGGGTGTGATGCTTACTCATGCCAACTGCGTTGCAGCGTGCGCGAGTGCTCGTTCCAGCGGATCCTACACTCACAAAGATATAAGCATTTCATATCTGCCTCTAGCTCATATTTATGGGCGTATGATAGATCAGTGCTCTTTAGCTTCCGGTTCCGCCGTCGGATATTTCCATGGAAATATGCTAGAGCTGGTTGACGACTTGAAGATCCTAAAACCTACCGGCTTCATATCGGTACCTCGGTTGTTCAATCGATTTAGCCTAGGAATCAAGGCGCAGACCGTGGATGCTGATGGTGTGAAGGGTGCTCTTTCACGGAGAGTCATAGAGACAAAGAAGGCCAGTATGAAACTTCCGCCTGGCAAGGCATCCAACAAACACCTCCTTTATGACCGGATATGGACCCCTAAAGTACGAGCCGCAATTGGCTTGGACCGATGCCGCTCCATGGTGAGTGGAAGCGCGCAACTCGACCCTGATGTTCATGAGTTCCTCCGAGCGGCCATAGGAAACTTTTTCTGCCAGGGCTATGGTCTTACCGAATCGTATGCCGCGGGATCGTTCCAGCTTGAAGGCGATTATTCCCTGGGTAACGTAGGTGGCCCGATGCCTGGCATAGAAATATGCTTAGAGTCGCAACCCGAACTCGAATACCTCGTGACGGACAAGCCTAGGCCACGAGGAGAATTGCTGTTACGGGGTCCCTTTATTTTCCAAGGCTACTTAAAGAATGAAGAGGAGACTAAGAAGGCCTTAGAGCCTGATGGATGGTTCCACACGGGTGATATCGTCGAGATCGACGAACTCGGCCGGATCAAGATTATTGATCGCAAGAAGAACGTTCTTAAGCTATCTCAGGGAGAATATATCTCGCCCGAACGTATCGAGAACGTGTTTATGGGCAGCTCGAACCTGATCGCTACCGCCTTCGTTCACGGCGAACCCAGCCAATCGACCCTGGTTGGAATCTTTGGTGTGGATCCGGTTACATTCGGTCCGTTCGCCAGCAAGATCTTGAAGAAAACGATAGCTTCCGATGATATCGAAGCTATTAAGGTTGCAGGCCGGGATCCTCGTGTGGTGAAGGCCTTTATCAAGCATCTCGACGGCATTGCCAAGAGCCACAAGTTCAACGGGTACGAGCGCGTGCGAAACTGTCTCCTCGATGTTGAACCGTTTACGGTTGATAACCAGCTCTTAACACCAACGTAAGTTCTTTGAAAAACACATATTTACTTGTATCTATGCTAATATTACAACTTTTAGTCTGAAACTCAAGAGACCCCAAACGGTGAAGAAGTTTAAGGACGAGATTGTCCGTATGTACGAGGAAATCAATGCGGAAACAGCTTCCGTTAAACCAAAGCTGTAATTCACGACGCGAACTTGTTTAAAAGATATCTTTCGCAGCCGGTGTATTTAATTTGTATATATAAATAAAATTCTGTAAAATTATATTAAATTTAATAAATTACCGTACGTTAAATATTTATTATTTATTATTTAACTGTTTTATTTAATAAATTAAATCATTTAAAAATTATAAATAAAAATTTAAATTATTAATAAAACATTACCTTTTTTTAAAACAAAAACCTCTTTTATAACATTAAACTTTTATCTTTAATTTATCGATTTTTAATTATTATGTAATGCAACTAATTACCGATTTCAGTTTACATCTTCGAATCGTTGCCAGTGGAGACCAACGCCTACTCACGATGGCTAGAAACCCATCGAGGACCTCTTCTGGTCGGGGGGCTTCTATAGATTTAAATACTATTAATGACGATGATGAAGATCACGTTGCCACAAATTTAAGCCGGCCCTATAGCTCGCCGCAAGAACGCCGCAAGCGCCGCTGCTCTCCGCCCAACTCTCGTTCAAGAATTAACGCGTCGAACGCGCCGACTTCTACCCATATCGAATCTAATGCTGTCAACCACCCGTCTAAACGCCAAAAGCTATCGAATGGCACCGGTCATAAAGCAGCTACTCCAATACCGGACACAGAGGCATTAACAAGATGCTTACAGACGCAGGTGTTCCCACACCTCGACGCCGCCGTCAAGGAGCTGGATAAGAATGTCTTCGACGTTGAAAAGCTTGGCGGGAAAGTTATTAGTACGATCGCTGATGACGAGTTCCAACTGCACTTCCACAAGGGCAACGGCCGTCTCCCTCCGAATATCGAGTCATCTATCATTGGGCGCATTTATAAATTAGTAGCTGAATTCACGGCGGGAAATGTAAGTTTTCCCGTTCCTAATATACTTCTCCAGGGTAGCACCTCTGACATATTATAGGAATTCCGACACCGTCCTACTACCCGTGCCGTTTCAAAACCGACACCGGCGCCCGCTAAAAGAACCATAGCAAAGTCGATCCCGAGCATTCTTCCTTCTATCGAGAAGCCACCATCTGAGTTGATATCGAATAATAATGTCGAGGACGACAGCAACGACTCGTACGACGACGATGCCTCGTGTAGCGATGAAGCGGATCTTTGTGAAACCGAAGAGAAATTGAATGATATTATCGAAGGAGTTCTCCAGGAAATCCAGGAGCATTTCCAAACTCAGTCAAGAAAGACAAAGCTAGCTTCACCACGGCATTCACGACCAAGGTCAAAGATTACGCATCCAAGCAAAAGCCACGAACCCAAAGGGAAAGACTCGCCCGCAAATGTGAATAGCCGATGGTCCAACCTGTCTGATATACCATATCAAGCCTCAAAGTTTCGGGGTAAGATCAGATATGGATTAAGCCATGGTTGTCATATCAAGCTTCACTCATGCGACCTACGCCATCCTACTGTTTACCATGTCGACTTCTGCGATCTCGAGACCAAATATCTTCGATATGTGGCAAGGTCTCTATGTAGTAGGGAGTCTACTAAAGCTCAGAGGTCAGACACCAAGGATTTACGCCATCTAATGAAGAAGTTTGGAGATCTAAGAACACTTATTCTCGAAGCTCATCGTCGCCGTTACGATCAGTTCGATCCACCACCTTGGCTCCTACTACAACGTTCCACAGAAAGCCTCCAAAACTTCCTAAATGACGTACTTCACAAACAAGTGAACCTAGAGCCTGTGTTATTAACTTTCGCACGAGATGAGAGGAACAGCAAGAATGCTAATATTATTAAGAGGGCGAACGTTGTGCCACTGTCACTATATGCAAGGGAGATGGCGGGCAACCGCCTCGGGGGTCTGAGGGTCTATCACCCCTATACCACGATATTCACGAGCAACAGAGAGGACTTTTTAGAGCCCAAGGTTGAATGGACCAACTGTGCCGGGGATATTATGACTATCAGCTGGCTGCCGGATGCTACACGCTTCGTCTGCGGCGCGACCACTCATTCCGACTCACATAATCAACAATATAATAAACCTGGTAACCTTCTATTCGGTGATGCGTCATTGAGGACATTAAGAGCGTATCCCGATCATCGTATACCTCGCCCTCTCGTTGCCCAAGGTGAAAATGCCTTGGAAGCAATGAGGGAAAGTCAAGATCCTTGGTTGTTCACGTCTGTGGTTTCGTCGGATTACGACCCCGTCTTCGACTTTGCGTTTACCTCAAGCTTCGATAACACGGTCAAGGTCTGGCACACAACTGAAGGGGCTATAGCACTTCGCGAGACGTGGCACCATGAGGGCCACGTTAATTTCGTCGTGACGAATAAAAGTAAACATGGTAGTAAGGTCGCCACAGCCACCGATGTTCCTACGAGAGCAGTACGGGTTTATTATGCGCAACGTGACAGGTCGGGCAATTACGCGCAAGCTTACAGATATAAAGAGTTCTCTTGCAAGCGAGTACATGGTGAAGACTACGTCCCCTCGGATAAATGGGCCTACTTCCCGTCCGCCATCCGCTGGGGAATAGACTCAAGCGTGAACCATCTTCTGCTAATCGGATACTCGCCAAGGAGCCTTAACAATGACGACAGTGAGATTCCCGAAGAGAAGCGTTCTACTGGAGAGCTCTGTTTATGGGATATGAACACATATACCGAGGTCAAGGTCAATAGTGCAGCTACTTCGAATGTATTCGAAGTTGTATGGCATCCTTATCGGCCAAGCTTTGCAGCGGCAACTTCGGCGTCACAGACCTCTGAGAAGTTAGAGGAGCATATTCGAACGCAGATTCGTCTTTTTGAGCTGAACGAGGCGACGGGCCAATATGGCGTCGTCAAAACACTCGATTGCCCTGCTATTGACATCAATGAGCTTGCAATTAGGTATGAACATACTACCCCTATCAAGTTGCCTAATGTAAGGAGCTAATATTAGATACAGGCCCAACAGTATTCTATACTCGTACATTGCCGCCGGCTGTACTGACGGCAAAGCCTACGTCTGGGACTCGGCCGCGAGCGAGGACCAACCAATGTGTGTTCTCGAACATGGCGGTAAGCATCAAATTTTATACACGTATAAATACGGACATTGAACTAATGATATATTAGATCCGGTTGAAGAAGTTATCGGGAACAGAGAGCAGGAAGATGTCGGAGTTAAATTTATAGCGTGGGCCACATCCCCCGATCGTCTATATACAGGTTCATCCGACGGGTTTGTTAAGGTGTGGAATGTACGGCAGGGGAAGGGAGAGTTAGTGAGAGACCTTATCGAAGTGGCAGCACCCATCACAGCCGGTGCTTTCTCGCCGGATTTTACGAAACTTCTTATTGGAGACGGTAGTGGACGAGTACATCTAATGGATATGGAAGACGACGAGGAGAATAACGACCAGAATAACCCAGCCGCTACTTCTTTGGGGGTTGTTAACATGCAGGTCAACGGCAAGCAGCGCGTAATCCGTCGGCCTCGCCCCTTTATTCCTCACCCTGAAGTCCCGCCTCCCAACCAAGATGGAGACGAATATCCAAACCAACCTCTATACCAACTGGGCCAGAGGAGAGCAAGAGAATACTTGGAAAGATCATATCTTGCCCTCCATCCCGACCCTACTATTGGCGCCGTTCAGGGCCCAGCGTACCCCGAAACAGGCCTCTACCGAGCAGAAGCTCACCTCAGCGGAGATCCCCAAGCACCGCTCCTAAGCGGATTCGAAAACCTACAGCGAGCCAATCAGTCATTCTCTAGGAAGACTAGGTTCCGGAGACAGAGGAGCGTGGATGATATGGCGCGGGACTTGCAGGCGCGAAATGCCGCCGTCGATGCGGACATTGAGGAGATGCTGGATCCGGATACCCGTATGGCGCTTGAGGTTGAGGGGGCGGAGTTTGGTGAGGCGTTGCTGGAGTTGGAGTATGAAGATGAAGATGAAGATGGAGAATGTGGCTACAATGCGGATGAGGAGTAAGTACTTAAAGAAAGTAAGCACCGTTGAGGTCTCGCAAGAGGAGATGTAGATACGTAGGTAAGCATGGGCAGGAGAAGAAATTATAATATTATTAATTGCATTGTAAACCTCTTTCGTAAGGCTTTTTATTGAATTATAATCCCATATATTTCTAGGTAGGTTAGTAAATTTAACTTGAGCGATATTTTACATTTCTTTTCTTTAATCCTAGTTCTATTATAATCGGTTACGGTTCACGAAGCAAGTCGTCCTGATCTAACACAGGTATCGTCAATAAGATAAAATATAGTCCTTTAACTATATCAACATATCTAGAGCTTACGATGTAGCTATCGCCGGGTACGAGAGCGAGATTCGCTGTTCCCGGCTTCGTCCCGTCTCCGCTGTATAGTATATGTTCGAGGTACACATACAAGACCAGGTACCTCGATACCGTCAACTCGGAATAGTCTAGACCTTTATATTATATCGTACCTAGGTAATTCACTCTACAGTACAGTACAGTACAGTATGTTTAGCCCAATTTCTCCCGCCGCCGCAAGCTCCCGCGCCTCCCGAGACAGTCCGAGATTACCTGCCTACGAATCGATAGCTCGAAGCCCCGAGGGAGGATAGGTATTCAAACACGTTGCAATCTCCCACGCGCCCCCACCGAAGAGGTAGTGCCAAGAAGGACTGCTTGTACGAATGTATGTATGCAAGTACCTAATATATATGGCGAATATACGGATATAAACCATAGGCCAAACGAGCTCAAAGGACACTTTATAAGGCTTACATACATGACGCAGTCAGTTTACCTTGTTACCATTTGAGCGACTCTACATCACTAGGTAGACACCGTTTAATACAAGTTCAACAGTGCTCACTCAGCAATAACCCACCCTATACCCAAGCCACGTCACGAGAGAGCGAGTATGTAAATTCACAAGCGCAACTTTCCGCAACAAAAATATTCTCAATAACTATGAAGCTACCTGGCTTCAGAACCCTTCAGAGCAACGAATTGCCGAAAGTACCGCCCCTTGCCCCCCTTTTTTTCTTGTCCATAACGCCTACTCTGCTGAATACTATACATTATGCAATCTGTACCAACATTGACTTGCTACATAGTGCAAGCTGATGCTGGAATCGCGAAGATGAAGAAAGTGAATGAATACAATGAATAGAACATGGCCCCTCTGATGCAGCTGTCCATCGACCTATATTCGAAGTTGACTAGTATAATGTGACGTCAATATCAGCGAGGACCTGCGCCTAACTAAAGGTCCTATGAGGCCCAACGTAGAATACCACCAACGCCGTTCCATGCTACGTGATTCGTAAAGTGGTTGTAGGTTGTACTATTGAAAATGATCTCCATCTGCAACCGTCCATTAGGATTATTCGGAGAGAAAAATTTGAGAATTCCCTAGAAGCCTAGTGGGCATCAAGACCCGGTCACCAATTCAACCCAATCAGTAACTTCCAAACCCATTTTCGTAAGACCAGTCCTACTGATCGGCAGGAGGCGCTGGGAATGCAAATCCCGGCGGGAAGACGGGCATTCCGTTGGGTCCGGTTCCGATTCCGAAAGGAAACGCTGGGACCGCCGGCCCGGTAGTAAGTCCACTCCTATCATCTTGAACTTCCTCTCGTCGCGGATCACGATTTCGTCGCCATCGAGTAAGATCTCCTTCATCGCTGTCGCCTGGACCACGGCTGGACTTTGGCCCGTGTCTTCCGCCCTTATCAGTCTGCATGCGGCGACTGATGGCCTTCGATGAGACGCCAGCACCAATCTCAATATCCGGCTCCTCAACTACCATGCCTGACTCGATGGCACGACCACCACTTCCACCATATTCAGCAGTCAGCATCCACTTTCGGTCAGCCTCGGTCAATTTGCTGATAGGGATAACACTAATGCCGGTTTGGTAGTCGCTGCAGTCACGAGGACCGAATCCTACTCCCCAACGAGTCTGTCTCTGTGTTAGCAGCGTAAGGCATCATAATAACTTTCGACACTACTTACTCGGAAAGTGCTACTCTCCATAGCCTCCTTTGCATTAACAGCATCTCGGCGAGTGACCATCTTAACAAATGCGTGACGCTTGTCCTTGTTGACGATGCAGGTCTGTACTTGGCCATGACGGTTGAAGACACTACGCAACTCGCTCTCAGGGCAACTATGTGCAACAGTTAGTTTACAGTTTATTTCCTAGTAAATAGATATGTGACTTACGTGACACCTCCTACGAACAAGGTTCTACTTAGAACTAGAAACCGGGTTAGTGTATAGGGTTACAATAGATATACAAGTTATTTTTACCTTTGATGTGACCCTGGGGGATAGTCCTGTCAAACTCAACCCATTTGGCAGTCGGCTGGGTAAAGCTGTGTACAGGGCTGGGGCTACGGCCACGGCGTCCAGGACTACGCTGTCGATACCCAGTGCCTCCAGTACGTCCTAGGCCAGGAGAGTTACGTCCGTAGCTGCCATATTCACGATCAGAGCGGCCACGGGGAGAGTCACGCGCATCCCAATGGCGCTGGGGCGAACGAGACCTCGAACGATTGCGATATCTATTTGGAGATCTCACTTGTTGAAATTCGTGGTCACGTGATTCATCAGGTCGAAAGCCACCTTGACCCCACGAACCAGCATACGGAGGCTGACCTACCGGGGGTACTGCAGCCGGATTGGCAGCAGGGGGCGCAGAAATACTGCTGCTCTGCATGCTAGCTATGATGGCTGGAATCTTATCGAACGGCACGCCCTGGTCGGCAAGAAGCTTGATCAACATAACTTGCTGCTGGACACTGGGGTCCATACCAGGAGTCGGTGCCGCAGGAACAGCAGAAGCTACACCTGGGAAGCCCGCGGCTTGATTACTAGCATTCACCTGAGGCACAGGGGTATGAGCCTGAACTTGACCTGGTTGAGGGAACGGGTACGGCATGCCCGGTAGATTTACAGGTTGCTGAGGTGGTGCTGAATAAGAAACAGGAGGCTGGCTTTGGGTTAGAGGAAGAATAGGAGGTTGAGTTGCACTTGTTTGTACCGGAGGTACGCTGTACGCGCTAGCCGGGACCGGAGCCTGAATGTTGTTGTTGGTGGGCGTAGCTGTGACGTTCTGTCGAGCTATGTTGGCGAGGGCCTCCATGATTGCATTTGGAGCCTCGACAGCAGCATGTGGCTTGTTCTCGGTCAAACCAGGTAAACCAGGGCCCGGAGGAGGACTGCCAACCGGTGTTGTGGATTCGTCTACAAGAACAAACAAGGGTCAGATAGGTGACCTCAAAACAATAAAACAATACAAGAGACGGTGAAGAAGTGGGGGTTGGTTCTCTATTGTCAAATGTCAAATTTAGGATCGGGAAAAACCTACCTTTTGCAGCAAACGATTTCATCTTCTCTTTGAATGACTCGATCATGGACCGAGGAAATGTCTGGCCTTTCTCCCAGATATCAATGAGCTTTTTAATCTTATCCTATACGGAACGGTTAGGTAAGTACTTCTTTTTAGGTCAATGTTGCAAAAATGTGTCTTAGTCAGTTAAGCCCGTAGGCGTGCGGCGTGAGAGTTACCATGGCAATGGTAATAAAGATAGCCTAACACTAGGAAATAGCACGACTAGATGTGGCTTATCCTAGGAGCATCGTGATGGAAGCAGATGATGCTATTGCCAATTGCCAAAACTACGAACTGTATGCGACGACGAATGTATGATAAAGCGTACCTTTTGTTCTCCGGGAGCGTTCTGAAAGATATCATTCATAAGCACAGGAAGCAGTTCCGTTACTCTATGCACGCCAGCAGCGTAGGTTCCATCCTTTGCAGAACTATTGATAGGTTGACCTTGATGCTTGGCTTGGTCAACCCATTTGCGAGTTACGGAATCTACGACGTAGAGCACTCCTAACTTGTGAGTTGCGGGGGCTTTCTTGAAATGGGTGTAGATCTTCTGGATGAGTACGGATTCCGACTGTGACGTAGATAACCAAATTAGCATCTATTCATATATATGCGCTGATGCATCGACGCATCGACGTGCGCAGGTGTGCAGTCTAGTCTTACCTGGACGTTGTCGACACACAAGCTGGTCAATGCCACAATACGGGATTGGGTAACTCCGGGTGGTTTTAGATTTTGCATGGCATTCAAGCCAGCCTCAAGCTCTGTTACGGGCGACGACATGATTGCTCTAGAGCTCTCTTGAATACTTGAGGGAGAACGGCAAGCACACAATGTACAGCGAGAACAGGCTCGCAGCACCTGTGGAATGATATACGATAGAGTCGCGATAGTCACCCAAGTATTAAGAGGGTTGGTTTGTTTATCTTGCTTCGTCTAGCTTTTCGGGCGATTACTTGTATTTCTTGCCGCGACCTAACGAGTTACAGCCGTCAAAAGGCAAATCTAGGTAAAAGTCGATGATTTCCAAGTGTCCTTTTTCAAAGTAGTAACGATTGAACGAATGATGAAAATGTCCAGCGATGTCGAGTAATTGTAATTTGATGCGACAGCGAGAAAACAGCACTAAAGCTTTTTGCACCTCTACTACGGCCTGGGAAGCTTGGGTCCCGGTACGAGTGTCGAGTGTTTAGTGTTTGTTAAGAAACCTGACTGTGCTGTTATGGTAAGCTGAGAATAGTGGCGCGGATTGAGATACTACCGCGACCAATTCGATACAGCTATATGAAGAAGTCGGCAGAATTTACAGGGTGTTGATGAAAAAGTTGATGTGGGATATTTACCGCGGATGGGGTGGAAGTGTTAGGAAAGAGGAGACGCCGCAAGTTCTAGTGTAAAGCAAAGCTTTAACTTGTTGGCTGGCAAGATTTTTTTTTTCAGTCGCGTGTTGCAGAGGTGGGGGGTTGAGGGAGCACTCGTACTTGCCCAGCCACATGTATCCACTTTTCTTTTCGCACTTGCCTTACGCTTTACTTGCCTTGGTGCTTTAGTGCTGCCAGGTTGCCTTAGTACTTAGGTATCTACCTTACTGCAATCGAGATCAGAACCAAATTTTGCATGAGCTTTATTATTAGGTAATAAATATGATTTGTGACTGTCGAGTAAAATTATAGACTTATTAGGTACGCATGTTCTCTACGACGGCAAGGTATGCTCAACCAGTACGATATAGCACTGCACATGAGATGTTACCCCAGGTAGTAGTATGTGACCAAGGTGCGTTTTGATTGTTATCAAGCAGGGGACTGGACTAATTCATATGTCCAACTAAGCAAACACTTCATTCAATCAAGTCTTGTAACCTACTTCAACCCAGCCATTATCAATCACTAGCCTCATGTAATTCAACAACGATAGGTCTACCATGGATTCTCCCCTGATACATATAGGAATACCTAAAGAGGGCAATATTTGCTGAATCACTACCTACATAATGCAGGGTCTGTGCAAAACTAGAGGATTGAATGTAGGTATCTAATAACAGTTGTCCACCGTTGTCGGGCATTTAATCCTACTCTCGATCCTACTCACGTAAGACCCAAACAAATCAAAGAGGCTTGAGCAGGCTGAATACAACAAGGCATAGTACACGTCTAATTTGAATACTAAATCGTAGCAACCAAGTCATTTCCCCCCAACGAACAGACAATTACTTGAATATTGCCTTTATATATATTTGCGAAAAGTGAATATTTGCAAAAAAGTGAAGCTAAATTGACGTCAACGTTACAAGCAAGTAGGGGACGTGTGATGGGAAGGCTACTACATATCGGGGAAAAGAGGCCGTTTACACAGCTTCTATTCGCGGATATGCGGGCACTAAATATCCGCAGAACCGGTTTCTATTGGTTATCATTTCTGCCGTAGTAAGTTTTTGGTGAGGCTTCGGCCCCAATTGGCAGCAACCTACACTAAGGGAAGTTGAAAGCACGTAGGTAGGTACTACCTATGGAAGTGATATAATATGTACAATACATGTGTCACAGGCTATAGATATAGGATGAGATCAGGTACCCTTCCGTAGTTTGCACCAGATGCCGGACCCGCTAAATTTTTTCTCGGGCTTCCCCCATCCAACCGAGACCGCCCTAGTTCCGTCACCCAGTCAATTAACCAAGGTAAAGGATACTTTTCGCTCTTGAGGCATTTCATCACTCTTTTTATCCTTTTTCACGAAGTCCCTATTGCCTCTTCCAATTTCCTATTTTCACCACCATAGTATAATTGTTTCGCGCTGCATCATCAGCCATGGCGTCAACCCTCCGTCTAAGCTCCTCTGTCTTTCGAACTACGCTTCGGGCCCCCAGTTTTGCGGCCCGTACCACAGCGTTCAACGCAGCACGATGCTATTCTTCTTCTAAAAGCCAGGTAGGTAAAAATTCCAATTAAATTCCAATTTCCTTATATAGTATCCCTCAAGCTTACCAATTCATCTAGACATTGAAGGAACGCTTTGCCGAGCTACTCCCTGAGAAGATCGAAGAGATCAAGGCCCTAAGAAAGTAGGTTTCTAATATTTAAAATTATATTGCCCCACGCACAAAAGCTCATGGTTCGTGCACAGAGAGCATGGCTCCAAGGTCGTCGACAAGGTCACCCTCGACCAGGTCTATGGTGGTGCCCGAGGAATCAAAGCTCTAGTATGGGAAGGTTCAGTCCTCGACTCCGAGGAGGGTATTCGCTTCCGAGGCAAGACGATCCCCGAGTGCCAGGAAGTTCTTCCCAAGGCCCCCGGCGGCAAGGAGCCCCTACCCGAAGGTATGAAAAAAAAATTATTGTGATTAGAAGGGGCGCCGGCTAATTATTATAGGTCTTTTCTGGCTGCTCCTGACCGGTGAGGTCCCTACTGAGCAACAGGTTCGCGACCTCTCTGCTGAGTGGGCCGCTCGATCCGACGTCCCCAAGTTCGTCGAGGAACTTATCGACCGCTGCCCTACCGACCTCCACCCGATGGCGCAGTTCTCCCTTGCTGTCACCGCACTTGAGCACACCTCGTCTTTCGCTAAGGCTTATGCCAAGGGTCTTAACAAGAAGGACTACTGGGGATACACCTTCGAGGACTCGATGGACTTGATCGCCAAGCTCCCCACTATTGCTTCTCGCATCTACCAGAACGTCTTCAAGGGCGGAAAGGTTGCGCCGGTTCAGAAGGACAAGGACTACAGTTTCAACTTCGCCAACCAGCTGGGCTTTGGCGAGAACAAGGACTTCATCGAGTTGTTGCGACTATACTTGACCATCCACACTGACCACGAGGGTGGCAACGTCAGCGCCCACACTACTCACCTTGTTGGCAGTGCTTTGAGCTCTCCTTTCCTATCGCTCGCCGCTGGTCTAAACGGTCTTGCCGGCCCTCTTCACGGTCTTGCCAACCAGGAGGTCTTGAACTGGCTTACTGAGATGAAGAAGGTGATTGGTGATGACCTAAGCGACGCTAAGATCACCGAGTACTTGTGGTCCACTCTCAACTCCGGCCGAGTTGTTCCCGGTTACGGCCACGCCGTTCTCCGCAAGACGGACCCCCGATACACCGCTCAGCGAACATTCGCCCTAGAGAAGATGCCCAACGACCCCATGTTCCAGCTAGTCAGCCAGGTTTACAAGATCGCCCCCAAGGTCCTGACCGAGCACGGCAAGACCAAGAACCCGTTCCCCAACGTCGATGCTCACTCCGGTGTCCTCCTCCAGTACTACGGCCTGACTGAGGCTAACTACTACACCGTCCTATTCGGTGTCTCGCGTGCCATTGGTGTGCTACCGCAGCTCATCATCGACCGTGCCGTCGGTGCGCCGATCGAGAGGCCCAAGAGTTTCTCTACTGCTAAGTGGAGCGAAATCTGCAAGAACCTATAAGGAATGAGGAACGCATTTTTCCTTTCGTCTGAAAAGAGCATGTTTCACAAACGGAAATAGAACGGTCTACCCGAGAGCAGTGGTGTATCACGGGGGGTTTGAATTAGAGATGCTCCTAGCGATACCAAAAAGCTGCACTTGTACAATAATACGTCATGATTGAATCTTGTATAGGTAGATGCAATTAAACATTAACTACTTTCAACACTCTGCTCGTTATTACAAGGTACTTGAGTCCATTCAATCTATAGGTAACTTTGTAAAAGTCATCAAGCCACATGGAGTGTAAGTCTAGCGGATTTGATAAATTTGGTGGCACTTGCATAGGTATAGGTATATGTACGAAGCCGATGGACTGACGATAACGATATTAATAGATTATTAATAAACCAGGAAGATTTGGGGAAAATCCGGGCAGCTTGTTGAGTTGGAATTAAACTAGCAAACATGGTTGGTTGATGGGGAAGCTGCGAGATTATCGGGCGGCGCGCGTATCACTGGGATCTTGGCAATTGTTGAGAGAGCGTTCAACAAAGTTCCCGAGGGATCTGAGGCCTGGAGATATGTAGGTAGTGCTGAGGTACTTGCTATACTTATTATACGGCTTGGTAATAGTGGCTTGAAAACGATAATTCTATCAGCTGAAGTCAGGCTGAAATATACAAAATATATCATCCGAAGTGGTAAAAGGAATCAAAAATCAGAAATCAAAATGAATATACATACCATTAACCGTATGATATTGAGTCATGATATTTCCAGTTGCCCAGTAATAAAAGCAATTGAATCCAATCTACAGGTACTAGTTACGTAGGTACCTACGCTAGTAGATATTAACTCCTATTCCATTGGCTAAATACAGGCGCTAGAATATACTAACTAGTGGTACCTTTCATTACCACATGCGGCCGAGGCTTCTTGACCTTGTTGACCTAGCAGCCTAGTGCCTGGCTGGCTTTGCTGACCACCGCCCCTCGTAGCTCCCTCCGTAGTACGCTGCAGGCTTACGGCAGTCGTAATCCGTTCACCGACACCAATCATACGCCCGTTTTGCTGAGAAACTCCCCGACTCCGATCCCTTATTGCCTTTACGTTTTGACTTCCCCGTCTCTCCCCGTCTCACAATATCAACTTTACCATCCATCTTCTTCTTTTTTTCATCCCTCAACACCAATCGTTATACTCTTCGAAGGTTAATCCGTCGTCTCCCCCCTCCCTTTTACTCTACTTGCGAAGAAGCACCCGATTGCCTTGGTCAGGCCCCTTTCCATTAACGAATCCTATCTGGAAATGTCCACCGCCACCGTTGCTGCCTCCGGGGCCGTCCCCCCTTTTACGGAGAAGAATTTGGAGAAGAAGCCCATTAAGTTCTCCAACTTGCTACTCGGCGCCGGCCTCAACTTGTTCGAGGTCACTACGCTCGGCCAGCCCCTGGAGGTCTGCAAGACTCATCTCGCTGCGAACAGAGGCGATTCCTTCGCAGCTGCTCTGCGCTCCATCTGGAACCGTGGCGGTGTCTTTGGATGTAAGTAGCCGTTAGCTCCGATATTTTGGCCATTGAAACCCCCATCCGAGTCAAACACCCCGCTAACATGTAGTCTTCCCGTCGCAGTCTACCAGGGTCTCATTCCCTGGGCCTGGATCGAAGCCTCGACCAAGGGCGCCGTGTTGCTCTTCGTCGCCTCCGAAGCTGAATACTATGCCCGAGTCGCAGGCGCTTCGGACTTCGGTAGCGGTATTATCGGTGGTGTGACGGGTGGTGTCGCCCAAGCATACGCCACAATGGGTTTCTGCACTTGCATGAAGACGGTCGAGATCACGCAGCACAAGCTGGCGGCGTCGGGTGTCAAGCCACCGAGCACGTTCCAGACTTTCATGGGAATCTACCGCAAGGAGGGTATCCGGGGTATCAATCGCGGTGTCAACGCCGTGGCGATCCGCCAGATGACCAACTGGGGTTCGCGCTTCGGTCTGTCGCGTCTGGCAGAACAGGGCATCCGTCGTATCACCCACAAGGAGAACGGCGAGAAGCTTAGCGCGCTTGAGAAGATTACCGCTTCTGCCTTAGGTGGTGGTCTCTCGGCCTGGAACCAGCCGATCGAGGTCATTCGCGTGGAAATGCAGAGCAAGAAGGAAGACCCCAACCGTCCCAAGAAGATGACGGTCGGAAACACTTTCAAATACATCTACGAGACCAACGGTCTCAAGGGCTTGTACCGTGGCGTGATGCCGCGTATTGGGTTAGGCGTTTGGCAGACGGTTTGCATGGTGGCTATGGGTGATATGTAAGTTTTTTGCTTCCGGCGCAAACGAGAACAAGAACTACGTTGCTAACCAGAACCGCGAAACAGGGCCAAGAGTTACGTTGAAAAGCTGACTGGCGACAAGGTCACTGCTAAGCATTAGGCGGCGTTTTACACGGATGGGATACCTCGTATGACGATAGAATAAGACAAGGGGACTGGAGGCGCCCTCTTGGGTTTTTGCGGTTTTATTACGTATAGAGTGTTTTTTTTACGTTCGGCCGGTATTGTCCGGATTGACATTTGTGCCTGGTTGAGTAATATCACAGCGGCACCTAGTTTTTATTACGACCTATACTAGCGACTCGGTCATCACAATACAGAGTGTTGTGGTTTGGGGTCGGTATATTTGCACATGTTATTCCTGTATGTTTTGTGATGTGATGTGAATGTCGATGTAGCATGTGATTTACGGTGTTAAGATGTAATGAGTTGACATGTGATATTGTTGCATACTATTAACCCCTGTAATTATCTAGCTATGGTAACCCAATACTAGCTGTGATATCGTTCATATTACTCCGTACTCTTTTCCGTAGCTGCAGACACTAAATCTGCTATACTCTTTCCCTTGCTCAACAAGTCAAGGAGCGTTACATCCACACCAAACGTCTTGATCAGCCAGCTTCGTAGTTCCGCAGCTACTAAGCTGTCTAATCCATATTGTGACATTGGTTTACCTATGTCTAATTCGTCGGGCGCAACATTTAGTAGCTTTGCAAGTCGCTCGGCAATAACTTCGCGCACGATCGACGCCTTTTCCTCAGTTGAATTTACTGCTTGGAGTTTTTCTGAAAGCGAAGACACGTCCCCTGGGGTTCCAATACCCTTTGAAGTGTGCTCTTGCGTTCGATCAAAAATGGATTGTCTGATGGCTTGGAAGCGGGGATTGCTATACCACAAGAGGTCGTTGAGACGATTTCCTGCCACGTACGGAACTAAGCGACTAGGCTCGAAACTGAGTAGTATCTGAGCCGAGGAGTAGGGGTCGAGCTTATAAAGTTCGGATTCGTGTATAGGCGATAAGGATGACTGGCACAACGCCCCTTCGAGTAAATGCAGAAATTCGGTCTCAGATAGGCCGTACGAGCCATTGCGTTGAAGCATCTGCTTAAACCCGTCATTGTCTCCCACGACGCCGATCTCCAAAACTGTCCCAATGGCTAGTGAGATGGCCGGGAGATTTTGGGAGATACGAAATCGGGAAAAGGCGTCTTGGAAAGCATTAGCAGCCGAGTAAGCAGATTGTGACGCGATACCGACTGATGCAGTAAAGGATGAAGTCATGAGGAAGAAGTCGAGAGGGAGGTGTAGGGTAGCATGGTGAAGATTTATGGTGCCTGTAACCTTGGGAGCGAGGACTTGATGGATTTGTGAGTAATTTGTCTTGTCGAAGAAGGCATCCTATGTCGGGTTAACTTATATTGGTAGTGCTCTAGTAGAAGAATAGATTAGACTTACACCCTCCACCATCGCGGCATGGACGACACCCTTGACGAGTGTCTTGCTAGAGACCCGCTCTATAACAGACGTGAGAGCGTCACGGTCGGTGACACTACATCGAATAATTTCAGTCTGTACACCAGATCTTACCAATCCTTCTATAAAGGTAGTTGAACCAGGTCTTTCTGCGCCAGACCGAGAAAGGAATATGAGATGTTGAGCTCCACGTTCGACCATCCAATTAGCTAGACTTTGTCCAAGTCCGCCCAAACATCCAACTAGGATATAGGCAGCATTTGTATCAAAAGACGCCCTATTAGCAGGCCTCGCAATCTATAATAGTAAGCTTATATGGAGAACACAGGGGGGAAAGGACTGATGCAGAGGAGTTTGTGGCAGCTAACCTTCAATTTTGCCTTGGGGTTTTGGAAAGTCATGACCATCTTGCCGGTGTGCAGTCCCCTAGAGAAAAACGACATGGCAGACTCTAACTCCGAGATATCCAGAGTAGTGATATGGTCGATGGGACCGATGATTCCATCAGCCCATAGCTTCGTTAACTCCTGCATCAGACTGTATTACGTTAGAAGGATATGACGAAAGTAGTCTACTACTGTGAGTAAAGGAAGCTATCTGCTTACCTTTCCACTAATTCCGGCCTTTGACGATATATCAACCCCATATCAAAGGACGAGAATGTGGCATTTCGTGTGAAAACTTCCAAACTTAACTTGCCTTTTCCAAGAACATCCGTCCTTCCCACATCGATAAATCGACCTAAAGGGGCGATGCACTTCCATATCTCATACATATAGTCTCCGCCAGCGTTATTGAGGATGACATCGATACCATCTCTCCCAGAGGCTCGTATGATCTCGTCCACAGTACTCATGTCCCGAGAGTGAAAAATCCGGCAGGCGGGGATGTCGAACTCTTCGATCAGTTTCTTTCGCTTAGCATTGCTCCCGACCGTTGCGTATATCTTTGCGCCTAGAGACTTAGCAATGCGCGTGGCCGCCATACCAAGCCCGCCGGCTGCGGACTGGATGAGGACGGACTCGCCCTCCGAAAGTCTAGCGAGATGCTTCAGTGCATAAATAGCGGTAAGGTATGCAACCGACATCGAAGCTGCGCAAGCAAATGATGACTCTCCCTCCGGGATCTTTGATACCGAAGTAACTGGAGACCTCATGTAGTTGCCCATGTTCCCGGGTATGAACCCGAATACGCGGTCTCCGGCTCGCAAAGACGTAACTGCAGAGCCAACCTGAGATACTATACCAGCTGCCTCGGTACTTAAATAATCCCAGTCGAACTTGGCAGTAGCTACGGCGAGATCCTGTTCGGAGCTTGTCAGCATTGAGTTTATAAACGGACGAACTTACACTGCTCACCTTCATGTTGAGTCCGATAGCTTGCGTCTTGATTTCGACCCAGTCATCCCGTAATGGCATGAAGAACGCGGGATCGAGGCTGAAATATAACGAAGAAAGCAGGCCGGGCTGCTTGTAGTTTGCTCTGAGTGCGCTTTGAGCTTCCAGTGGGCGTTCTTCAAAGTCCTCGGCAGGCCCGCGACACAGGCGGAACTGTTCGTTCAGCGCCTCGTCTGACAAAAAGCGTTCGATGTACAAAGCGCCGTTCTGTAGAACGCACTCTAGATCAATATTACGATTTGGCGATGCGTGCAATTCGTTAAATTTATACGAGATCAAATCGGCAGTCCTCGACAGGGAACCAAGGTGGTTTTTGTCTACTTCGATCATGGCCATATTCAAGAGGACATTTTCATTGGCAACGCATCGCCACATGCCCTTCATAACTGAGGACTCGGCGTAGTCGCCTGCTGATACCCATAGGACTGTTGGGTTCTTGGCAATGATGGCTTGGATTGCTTGAAAATACGTCTCGTCCCGGTGGAGGAGTGTGATACTTTCGATGTCGATAAGCGAGATGATCAGAGAGCCTACCGGAATCTTATGATGGGAGAAAAGATCGGTATACACGGCACGAAAGCCATCTTTGGATAAGCTCTTATCAATCGAACGAGCAAGAGGGGGAGGGTACTCGCGATAGACTAAGAAAAGGTCCTGTTTCTGCTTGCCCTCTACGGGGAGGGGTTTGGCGTGGGTCGACGCAGTCGTCAACATGAGTGTGGAAATCGTTTGGTCCTTGACGTACTGTATCATTATTCGCATGTAGGTATCACTAAAAAAAAAGGGGGGGGGGGGGGGGGGGGGGGAAAAAAAAAAAAAAAAAAAAAAAAAAAAACCAACAAAAAAAAAAAAAAACAAAAACAAAAAAAAAACCAAAAAAAAAAAAACTAACACGG